ACAGAAAAAATGGTAGCCGGATTTCATTTGCCGGGTAAGTGAAATTAACATTTTCTCACAAAAAAATTATGTCTCTAAACTTAGTAAAATAAAGCACGACCGGGATATGTGACAAATTTCTGACCCCCTCAGCTAATCCTTACCATACTAACACTAATAATAAATACCGGAAAAACTAATCCGGCTAACATTTTTTCTGGGTGAAGCAGAGTAAGTCAATAGGTGGCAAAGACGTGTCTAATGTCAAATTTTAAATTGTTTATTCATGACTAACTTAAATCTCTCTCTCATACGAGACTCGACGGGTTTGTTTTAATTCGAGTCAATAACCGGAATTAATTCAAAATATTGACGTGATAAATAATTATTGTAAATATAAAAGGATGAAATTCTTCTGTAGAATTTCAGAGTATAGTACTCTCAACAACAAAATTATATTATAATTGTCTCAGTTATCCCGAGTAATGTTATAATAACGTAACTACAATTAATAAGGAAAACTATGATCGTTTAAATATAATAAAATCATGTCAAATAAATGAAATTAATATCAATCACAAATTATCGATATTTTTCAAATTTTATTTGAGAGAAATTGAATTATATCAACAATTATTACTTTACTTGTTTGAATAATATTGATTTCAATTCATAATAATGATGGCATAAATTATCTGTGCGATAATTAATTTTGTTATTCAGAGATTTGCGATACAAGCAAAAAAAAAAAAAAAAAAATAATAGAATTTTTATTTTATTTAATTTATTAATTTAAAAAAAAAAATTGTGCCGATCCGTAAGACAAATGGAAAATGGAAAAATAATAATCCTTCAAAGTAGTCTGTTTTTACGTAAAACATCTAACAATGGGATGCGCTGTCAACTAATTAAATCAAAACTATGTATAGTCCTATAAAAAAAATTACTATTGAAGATTTTTTAATATTAAGCTATTTTATAGTATAATTTAAATTATTTTATAATAAATTTACTATTTCTAATCTATATTTTCTTTCTTTAATAACACTGGATCCTCCTTATCATTTTCATTTCAGATTTTACGAAATTATTCCAAATATCTGTCTCTTTCACAAAATAGATCGCTTTTTTTTTAAAAAAAATTCATCAATACTCCGAAATTAATAATTAACTTTCTAAATAAAATAAACTTTTTTTTTACATGAGTTTTGAAAAGAAACGAGGTATTTTATGTTTCTTAAAGTTATCATGTACCTATTCAACTTTACTGCGTTACTTAAATGTGAATAGAGTACAAGTTATTAAATTTTATTAGAAAATGCTCGCAAATCCCGAATTTAAAAATGATCGTCAAAAATTCTCTAATAGTAAGTTTTCACTATAGGACTATACCAGTATATAATTTTGTTAATCTAACAAGTAGCTTTGCAATAAAATCTATCAATTAATCCACTTTTATTTTTTTGAATACTAATATACGTGTCAAGAGTTGGATAAGAACCGTAATCTGTCAAGATTTCAGAATCTGGAGATAAATAAAAAGGTTACCTAATAGAGTTGACAATGTTGTAATATTTTTGCCCTATATAATATATATAAATTTTAAGTTGATACGGTATAAAGAATAGTTACTCTTCACTTAATTACATATCAATAACTTTGATAATATCAAAATACTTCCAGATATAGTTCGTGTTTTAGTAATATGTGGTTGTGTTTCGCCTCTTTCTTACATGACTACCAATCAAATAAAGATCATTAATTTTTTTATTTTTTGAGATCTATTATTGTGAAATCATTATTTAAAAGTTTGAAAATATGAATTTTCAACTTATCAGGTTAACCTTATAAATATAAAAAAACGAGTACAAAACGGATATGTTCATAAATTGATTTTAACGAAGCAATAATATCCCGCAAGACGAGTCGAGTGTTTCCTGGATGAAACTGATAATAGCCAATCAATTTAGTCTTAAATCAAATACAATTAAAATATGATAATACGGTATTTTAAAGTGTCAACAAATTTTAGTAGAAATTAGCTATATTTTTAGATTTTTGTCGTTAATATATATACAATATTTGCTATTCAAAATTCAAATAATACTTTCCCTAAAATTCGAGATGAACCGGTCGAGTTCCGAATATTTACGTAATTTAATTTTTATGTTCGGTCAATCGTCCCTACTCGACTCTTTCAGAGCACTAAGGAGGGTGTAATTAAAAATTTTAGTCGCTGACTATTTTGTAAAGTAGAAAGACAAGTGACGAGTGCAATAAAAAGTTTACAAATTAGTTTACAATTCAATTAATTCTGTTACATTTAAATTATTGCTTTTGAAGTGACTTTTGTGTATCTCCACTTTCTATCAGTTACCATATATCAACATGGACCTAACCATCGTGATGTTTTAAGTAAGTTGTAATTAAATGTTTTTGCCCCTCCGAATGGGTCAGGTCGGATACTCGTCCCGGATGTTTTGATAAAAGTTAATTCTGTGATTTGGCCAGAATTATGCAAGATCAGCCATAAGGTTGCCAGACAAAACCCCGAGGTTTCGACAGGCATCGAAATCGAAACCTATCGAAACGTTTTGCCAAATTTTTTTATTAAAGGCTAAATTGCGAAAGTTTCGACGGGGGCAAATGGTTCGACGATGGCTATCGGTGTAAACGAATTAGCCTGTTGTGAGTGGTCAGTTCATCAAAAGGAGTTTTAGCGGTGCCTTTTCTTCGTCGTGTATAATATTTGTCAAATCATTCATCAAATTTTTTGACGGAATCCACCAATAGGAAGATGAAGAATCGATTTTGGTGTTACCATGAAATATATAACAAAATTTTCAACTCTGAATGAATTCTTCGAATTCTCTCAATATCATCAATATAAAGTTTTTAGACCATATCAAAATTTGGTTAACAAATGATGGAGTCATAACTATACATATAAAATTTTTCGTAAGTATGACTATGAAGCATAGCTTCTATTAAATGATATTCCACTTGATGAACAACCATATTCATCTCCATCATTCATAGGCGAACGGTTAATAAAATTACTCGCTTTCTCATTTGTAGTACATAAGTGAGAATTTTTTAATCTTTAAGGAATATTTTTATAAGGAATATTTTAATTTTATTTATTTTTTATTAAAAAAAATAAAAATGATACCCATATTTTATATTGCGGCTACCCCCCCCCCCCAAGCATTAAAAAAAATTTTCATTATTTAGAATTTTTTAACTCAACACTATAATTTTTGATAAGGTTTTAATTTTATTCTCGGAGCATTCATCCAATATAATGATCTATGCAATATCACATCCTTTTTAAGAATTCGCAAAGTTGTTATCGAAGCCGTCGAAACTTTCGCGACCTATCAAACCCCATCGAAACCCATCGAAACCCGTCGAAATCCATCGAAACTGTCGAAACAATTTCTGAAAAGTTTCGAATTTTGCCAAAATGGGTTTAGGGTTTTGCCCCGCAAATATAATAAGGTTGCCAGGCAAAACCTGGAGGTTTCGACAGGCATCGAAATCGAAACTCATCGAAACGTTTTGCCAAACTTTTTTATTAAAGGCAAAATTGCGAAAGTTTCGACGGGTGGCAAAAGTTTCGACGGTTGGCAAAAGTTTCGATGGTTGGGAAAAGTTTCGACGGGGGCAAAGTTTTGACGAATGACTAATACCCATCTTATTAAAAATACAATTTTTTAATTTAAAATTTATTTGTTTTACGAGTTGGGTTTAATTATTGACTAGTCTTGGTAGGAATAATATTACTATTCAAAAAAATTGAATAATCTATTTTAATGTAGCGCATAAGTGCGTAAATAGAATGATTGAGTCGTAATTACATCACCATTGTTTTATAATAAAATTTCTTTTTTACTTTAAGAAAAATTATAAAATTATTGTGGAATTATCAAAGAAAAAAACCGAAAAACCTAACCTATGCGATACAATAAAAATAAAAAAAAATAATATGGAGTGGAGAAATAATAAAATATTATATCGCAGTAACCTGATATTAAAAAAAAATTTTTATCGCTTATTTATGAAATGACCCAAGTCAAAAGAGAACCTAATGATTAATAAAAAAGATAGTTTTTTTAAAAAAAAAATAAAAAAAATTTCGATCGCTGTAACCAATATTATAACAGGTGATCCGTTAACACATATAGAAGTATTATGGAACACATCTCTAACGGGGTTTCTAAGAAATGGATTCTGAATATTAGTAGATGATTATCTTGTTATGAAATGCAAGTAATTATTTTTTAATGTTTAACATATAAAATTTTGAATTTCTTCAAACTAAATAAGTTTATTAAGATAACAAGCGCGTACGTAAAAATGTTTATAAAGCGTTTGACGAACATGTCAAAGCTCGCGCGCCTCCAAACGGGAGAGTTCTTTTTTATAGGTTTTCATTCAAAATTGACGATGATTTTCACCCGGAAGAAACTGAACCGTTATATTTCATCTTTAAGGAACATATTCTATTTGTTGAGAATCCTACATGAATGAATTTAAGGAAAAAAATAATTGTATGCTTATTATCTAGGAAATAAGCTACTCGCGTTCATATTTAAAATTTTATTTCCTTTTAAGCAGATAAAAATAAACATATACGTCTGATTATCGATTATGACCACAATTTGGTTTATTTAATGCCGGCCATCATCACATAATCATATATTTACGTCCTTTTTAAGAATTCGCAAAGTTGTTATCGAACCCGTCGAAACTTTCGAGACCCATCGAAACCCTCGAAACCCGTCGAAACCCATCGAAACTGTCGAAACAACTTTTGAAAAGTTTCGACTTTTGCCAAAATGGGTTTAGGGTTTTGCCCCGCAACTATATTCCTATATTGAAAATTAGGTGGATTCTAAATCAAAAAATAATAATAAATAAATATACAAATTATTAAAAAAAAAGTGTAATTCCCTTCTTTTAACAAACTTTACTCTAACATCATAATTCTGTTTAATATTTTTCCATTTTGACGCACATTATTCAGCGGTATAACTGTAACTTTTATTTGATAAAGCAGTGACGGCACCATTCCATAGAGACATTCTACCTTTACCAGCTTTCGAACCTCGACATTCTAGCAGCATTACATCATCTTTATTTTCAGTCAAATAAAAAAGCAATACTTTAGTGGATTCTTCCTTCCATTTACATTTAACTAAAAGAATTTTTTTATTTTTAAAAGAGGGAAGTTAGTAAAATAGTTAATACCAACCAGGATCGATTCACAAAGTCTTTGCTAAAACTTAACCTTTAAAATAGTTCTCACCACTATTTTGAGAGCCAAAAAGTTGAGTTAAACACGATTTAATATGTTCTTGGTCTATTAGAGAAAACCCGCACTTGTGTTACACAATGGAACATAAGCGTTACTTTATAAATCTTCATGGTAAATGGATGAATATAATAAAATGAATTGACAATGTTATTCTCATCATCGGAATTACTTAACAAGTCGATTGCAGATTCAACAGTTAATGGTACTATTTCTTCACAGATGACTAGAGCATTTCCATAAATAAAATCATATTTGGTCACAACGAAAATGTCATGCAAGTAGGGTGAATGGGGTTGTAAGCATGGTAAATTATTTGAAGTTTGAGTGTAAATGGGATTTGTCTGCATTATATCTGAAAGTGCAAAAAAGATTTTGGTCATAATTTCGAAGATATAAAAAGGAAACAATTTCCAATTTAAATCTTCTACACAACGAATATTTTTTGATCATATTTTAAGTATATTATCACAAGCTAGCTCAAGTTAATTATGTTAATAATTTTTGTAAGAATCCAATACACAATCCTTAGGATTGGCTAGCATAACCTGCTCGAAGTCCTGATGGAAGAGCTTGGTTAACATGACGCATTTTTTTTTAAAAAAAGGGTTAAATTTAAGCTCTATTTTAGCAAATTGGAGGAATCACTACCAAAAGAACAAGTTTATAAGCTGATTTAATGACACCATATACATATCGATACCGTTTTGATAAATTTTATGGTTATAAAGAAGTAGCAAATAAAGAATTTGGCGTTAAATCCAAATCCTTTGCATATATATGTACAACCGGATTTGTGTTTCACAAACAATTTGCTCTGCTCTTTAACCAATACGAAAAATTGTACGAATACATTTGCAAATTTTAAGTCAATAATAATCAAATTAACTTCGAAAAACCTTTACATAGTTATAATAATATACCTCAAAAAACAAGGAGATTTGTTTTTAAACGCTATTATCTTGCCAAGAAACATTTGATAATAAAGACAAGGTCGCTTAAAAGTTTCGTGACACGAATATTTTGTACTCTTGGATAAATTTTTTGCACTTTTAGGTCAAACCGTTTATTATTTACATTCAACATCAAATAAACTGTACTTTTTACTCATGTATTTTATCAAGATCCGCGTGCCATAACAAAATTTCTGTTTTAGGGATTTTTAGAATAGATTTTACGATTTGTTGATAAAAGGTTTTGTGTAACTTCTCATTATATGCAAAACAAATTTAATCATTAATACTAGCAAAGTTATATTAAAAATAGAAAAAATATATGAAAAAATAAAATTCCAATAAAGCGAGTCAATCCGTCACATCTTTTTTTTTTATCTGTAAGCAATTTCGATGTGGTGTATTGATGACGGACCTTTTGCCAATATCACATAACATGTGATTTAAAAAGTATAACGCTAATAATTTCTCTCTTCTACATAAGTTTAGTCAAAATTCATTTAATTATATAAGCTTTATATTGAACAAAATTTAAAGTAAATTATAAGATAGTCGTCGTAAAAACAATAAATTTGGTCAAAAATTTTTATTGGATTAGTCATGTGCACAAATTTATTTCACCTTGTAACACGGATTTATTGGAATTTGTGTTTAGAGTGATATTTACCGGCAGTGGTGATACGCTTATAATTAACTGGAATATAATGAAAGAAAACGTAAATAAGATGAACGAAATAATATAATACATTAATTCAATAGTAACAACTATTAATCCACACGGTATTTTATTACATATACTTAGATAAGTTGAGTTATAGCATATTTTAACCAACAACAATAAAACAATACCAAAAAAAATCAATTTTTTAAGCTTAATCATTGTTTAATTCGAGTCCAATTAGCTGCGCTATACAAATGCGTCGTCCTATACCAATATATGGCTAAGTAAACTTTAAATAATTAAAATACTAGCATTAGATTACTCCTCACATTCAATAGGCCAAGTGCCCCCTTAAGTCTTCGGTTAGTCTTTTTAATTATTATAACTTGCCAATTTTAGTAATATTTATAACTGAATTTTTTTTCTCGTGACTATATGCTACATGAAATAATCACACTTATTAAAGCTTTATTCATAATTGTAGTGAACTTTGCAACAAAAAAATCATAAAACACAAAGGTCTCTTAAATATTTAGGGTTGTGAAACATGATATAGTAACCTTGATTACATTTCCCAATTACTACTATTATCCTATTTTATGGCTAATGCAGAAAAGGGAGTTTACCAAATGATTGGTTATGGTGTGGTTGCGTACCACGACACCAGTGAAAATTAGGCTTAATTTTAAATAATTCCGTTTTTTGGGTACATGTCAGATGCATCGTTAATTTACTCCGATTCAATCGGAAATGATAACCATGTATGGGAAAAAAGAATTACCAAACATTCAAATTTTTTAAAATCTAATCTTGATTTATATATATTAGTGGCTATTCTCTGCTCATTACGATTAAATTTAACAACTGAGAACTGAATAATAATTGGAATAATTTCGCAATGAGCTTGATAAATTCTTTTATAATAAACATATCACAAAATTTATTAGATAATAAATATAAATAAAATAAACAAATGAATTATATAAATCTAGTTATTTATAATGCTCTCCATTCCCTTATCGATTTTCCAACTTTCTGGCTTTATTTGGCCCATTTACCAATTCATGTTCCAGCTTTCGTTTACTATATACAGTCATATTAGATGATGTATTAAATAAATCCATTGGAATTTGAAACTAATAAAATTTGGAACGAATCTTAATCTATAATCGCTTCAATTTCGTTCTTAAATTGAAGTTGTTTCTTAAAGGTAATCCCTTCCTTTATCGACTTTACTCTTAATTTATAATTCTGTTTCATATTTTTCCATTTTCTCACACATTGGATAGCGGTATAAGTGTAACCTTTATTTGATAAAGCAATGACGGCACCATTCCATAGTCTATCTTTATGATCTAGATGACTTCGACCATCTAGCATTACATCTTCTTTTTTTTCAGTCAAATAAAAAAGCAATACTTTAGTGGGTTCATCCTCCCATTTACATTTTTCTAAAAAAATTTTTTTTTTCTTAAATAGGAAAATAGTTGATGTCGATCTTTATAGAAATAAATTCACGGAAAGTAAATATTTTTTACCATTTTGAGAGTCAAATGCTTGATGATTATTTTCATTTTCAAAGGTAAAAGGTTGATCATTATGGTTCACAAGAGCTGCTGTATTGTGTATTTGGCTGGAAACCAAAGACTCCACATCAGGCTCGTTCGGTCGACCTTCACTAATTCCTTGAGAGTAGAAGGTTGATTCCTGGTATTGCTGCGGGTATTCTAAAGAACTGAGTAATGCTGGATAATATTGGCCTTGTTGCGGAATTTCTCCTAAAGAATTGGATAATTCTAGATGATTTTGGCTTGGCTGTGAAATTCCTCCAAATTGACTGGGTGGTGCCTGATTACATTGGATTTGATAAGTTAGAATTTCCCGAAATGTTTCAAGAGTAATGTTGTTTGCTGGAATATGTTTGAACAGAAATCCCAACAATAGATCATAGGAAATGGGGGGTTCTTGATTATGTCGCCTTAGCCGATTTAGAAACACCAGATATTCTCGATAATTTGCACTGAGCTGAGTTATAATCTTCAGAAATTCTAGATATGCAAGATATTCTTCGGTCGCAAAGTCGTTTGACATAATATATTCGTGAAAAAAAAAAAAAAAAAAAAAAATTGCAAAATTAGTAAATTTAAAATACTATATGTAATTAAATATAACTATCGGAACAGGAAGTAAGGAGAAGCCCTATTTATAAGAATATTGTAACGTTTCTTGGACATGATCGTTAAATCCAATTCATTACTAAATTATAAAAAATGAACGTAATCGGTTTAATCTAATACAATCTTAAGGCCAATTTGGTAACCGCATCCAAATTCAATCCGTTGTTTATGGAATTCTTGTATCAGCACCTTCGTATCAGTTATTAAGTTATTGAATTAGAAACTCTATTTGTCACGCGCAACGAAAAGCTTGTTTATTATGAGGCGAAGACTTGTTCGATTAACCCGGAAATATTGATTAAATTCTTTCACTATCTCATTTTTAGGATCGTTTTGTATTGTATCCTGGAAGATTTTATCCATTTTATTTTGAGATAAATGAGAACGAACTATAATTGAATGTTTTTTACTTAATTATAAATGTAAGGCTTCATACATGCACAACAGGGAATGACGCAAAATCCAATTCAATCACAAATCCAATTCTAAGCGAATGACATAATAATCCAATACACAAAGGTTTATCCAATGCTCTTGTATCACGTCTGATCATTTTATCGTAGCACAAATCTTTGATTTTCTTTCCCAGCGATGATTAACTGAGCTTATCAACAAATAGATTGATCCTTGTCTAAATCCCAATTTCAAATAATTATCTACCACCAAATTCGTTGTATTAAAGAAGTGGGTTACTTATACTAGGAAGAATTATGGCTAAATTATCAAAAATTAAAACCGTTGGTGTCTAAAAATCTGGAGGCCAGGGTACTAAAACAGACTTTAGTTATTATCATCGTATTTTTTAAATTTTCGGTCTGTTTAATAAACTAATTTATGATCCAACCATAATTAACATGACATTTTTATAATTTAGTCCTCCTTCCGAAACCTTACATTTCTCGCACATCTGAAGTCACAAAAGAATGATTAGTTCAAAATACTAAAATTTGATTGGTCAAATATAGGATCTTCGATTAATTTTGTTTTCCGGGTCTTTTTATAATATTTTATTATTACAATATTGGAAATTTGTTCGTTGTAATAAGATTTGAAATAATATTTTTAATGAGATCTGTAAATTGTAAATGAACCCTATTATAACTTTTATATATACCCTATGCCCTCAGGATTTCAAACACATACTTATTTGCTTTAAGTTCACATCTTTTGACTGCAACTAGGTTAGCTCCACCAGAAATCTTGTTTTACGGAGTATTCGTTGTTAATAAATAAGATATTAGTTAATTTATGATCATTTTTTATCTGTAATTGCAAGGTAACTTAAGCCACCAAAGATAAATGGAATTAAAAATTAAGGGAACATAGCGTAAGGGTAGTTTAGAACAAAATCAAGTAATACAATCACCTGGGTCAAGCAATGTGTAACCTTGACGGGTGAATTTAATTTGGTGCGTTATTTAATTAAATATTGCTTACTACCTGAGCTAAGTCTAGTTTCAAACTTAAATGTATCCCAATTCCATTAAAATTATTGTTTGATAATTATCAAAATGCATTTTCCACAGATTTTTCAAATTTAAACTTTTTGATTCATCCGCTTCGTTTGATTAGTGCTCCGTAAGGTCGGATCGTGTCGGGTTTAAGGCATATTCGAATTTGAACCCGTTAATAATTACAGAACCCGAATACTCGACCCGATCATTGTTCGACTCGGATTCGACTCGACCCGATGATTGTTTAACTCGGATTAGACTCGAATTTTCAAGGGTAATATTAAAGCAGAAAATAAATAAATTATCATATACATAAAGTCTATTTTCATTTTAAATTTTTTTTTTTTTTTTGTGAGCATAATCCTAATTCTTTTTTTTTCATCTTTTTCCACCAGAATTTCAAGCACATACATACGAATTGTATTAGCTTTAATACCACATCATTTGGTTGATATCAGATCGGTTCCGCCGGAAAAAACTTGTTCTACTGGAACACTTGTTGTTTTATAAAAAATTGTATTAGTTAATCGATAATTTTTTTTTTTTTTACCTGTAATTGTTCACTCCGCAATGTTTTTCTTTTTCTAGGAAAGTTGTACTATCGTTAACGTCAATAGGTTTATTCATTATTTATTTAAATTCGCGCAATGTAAAACAAAAAAGTTATTGTTTTCGTAAGTCACGGCCAAAAAATAACAATAACACGTGATAAAATATAAAAAACACTTTTGAATTTTAAATGATTACACAAAAATGAAAATTATTTAGTCGCCGGATCACTGAAAAATTATGGTATTGGTTGGCCATCAATTACAATCTGAGTTGCCGGGTTGCCGGAAAGTACTCGGAAAAAAATTTGCCGCATGTCCTGTGACTTATGATCGCCTGATCATCCGGGTCGACTCGAGCACTACGTTTGATAATTCAAGTCCCATCTTTCGTTAGTTATAAACGAGTATTTCATTAGGAGAAGCATTAAATCCTTGGAATTAGTTTCATTAAATTGCATATATATACTTGGAACAAACCTTAATCTATTTCTACCAAGAATTGTTTCAACTTCTAATTTATATTGAAATTTAGGGTTTTTAATTCATAAAATCTGAAAATTTTATAGAATAGTTATATAATATTTTTATCTCACATCATGATTCTGCTCCTTAATATTTTTCCATTTACCGCACATTAGTAAGCGTTACAAGCGTAACCTTATAACTTTAATTTGAGAATGCAGTGATGGCAACTGTTGTAACCCAATTGTGTTGATAACCAGAAATGCGAAGAACATTTGGGATATGCGATTGTCCCAAAGATCACTTCGGATATCTCAAACGACCACTTCGAATTGACCGACCACTTCATGTTAATTTAATTAATATTTGTATGCGAAATTATTAAAATGCATAAGATTTTATTTTACAAAATGCCGCCCCTTATAGTTAATTATATCATTATTTTTAGAGAGGCTGCAAGATTACAAAAATTACTAAAGTTAAAGTTTCTGATATAAAATGTAAATTCAAAATATTTGTGTAATTTTTTTTTTTACAACTTAAAAAAGCTTTATAAATAAGTTTTTTTAAATTTTCTATTTAATTATTTGAAATGAAATGATCATTTCGATATACGAAGTGAGCATTTAGGATATACGAAATGCGCATTTGGGCAACCGCATATAAGATATTCCCAAACAATCTTCGCATTTGGGTTATCCCAATTGCGCATTTCGGACAATAACGCATTTGGTTACAACATCAATATCACTCTGGAATGTAGAACCACGCTTTTTCTCAAATATAAAAGTAATAATTAGTGAGGTCTTCTTTCATTTTCATTTTTCTTTTATTATTATTTTTTTTTTACGGAAAAGGGAAATTTAAGTTCGTAAATAGTTATTACTAATCAGGTTTTAACTTTATAGATTCACTAGCAAGCAATAAATATTTGCTATAAATAATAATTCTCGGCATATTTTCGAGAATCAATTACTTAATGATTATTAACTTTAGAAAAGTAAAAGTTGATTGTAAGAAAAGGGTTGCGTTTGCACAAAATAATACGATTTAATATTTTCTTGATCGATATATAAATTGGGTGCTGACGTTTTACATGTAAGCTTGTTGAGGGATGAATGTGTTTCATTGTGAGTGTAAATGGGAATTAACTGCATAATAGCTGAAAGTGAAAATATAATTATATTATTGTATCAATTCAGGTTAGTTACGTAAAAAATTTGATCTAAGTTGTAAATTTTTAAAAATATTCATTAAAACATCAATGAAATAAATCATCATCAATTTTTATAACAAGGAAGACGCAAGTAGACTTTTAGTTGTGATTAAGTTCTTGTAATGATCCAATACAACTTAATACAACACATAATCTAAAGAATAATTATCTTCGAAAGTCATTTTTTTTATTTTATTGTTTTGTATAGTAAAAAAAAGTGTTTTACTACATTCCGACAATCCTTTCCTTTTTTATGGTTATAAAGAAGTAGAAATAAATTTGCAGATGCGTTCGAATCACTTAATTCAAAAGTTTAGAAGTACAACCGGAATAAACAATTTGTACTTTATTATAAACGTTATTTCATGTAAATTTTTTAGGTCGGCATACCAATAAAAAAAAATAATTCTAATAACCCTAAATAGTTAGCTTAAATAAAATGAATAGCTATGATTATTTGAGTACTGTATGTGCCACTCCTAAGGAAAATTGTTTGCCACAGTGTACCATGTATTTCTTGAGTAGTGCAAAAGCAACTTATATTTTGTCGCATTTACAAAATTAAACAAAACAAATATAAAGTTTAAATATTTACTAAAATATTGCATTATTTAAAATGTACACCTCTTACCTAAAATGGTAAGATTTGCCGTTCAAAAAACAATATTCTTACAATATTTTATGTTTTTTTGTTTTTATAGTTTATTTCTTAGTTGAGTGAGTGTAGTATAATCACGAAACAATAATAATTGCATATACGCTAGTGCTTTAAATCATTTTGCAGTTTTTAAGTTGTTGATTCATGAACTATAAAAAATTATCGATTAAGATAATTAAATATTATTAAAGTTTTATGCAGAATAGATTTATTTGGATAATTTATTTATTAATAATTGTAATGAACCTTAAATATTTTTATAAAGTTTCCGTGTCCTCGTAGTAACAGATATATCAAATTATACCAATTAAAGTTCGGTTTTATTTAAATAATACCAAATTAATTTGATTGATGACTCCGATTTACGGATTATATTAAGAACTAATATTGACAAGGAGTTTGCTAAATTCTTTTATAAAGTCTCAGAATATAAATAAGGTTACAGCATCACTCACGATGAATGGTTAAAATATGCGTGCGTTTACATATTAGCATATAAACAAGTACTACATATTATAATGTCACAAAATTTATTAATAGATAATGATCAACAAATAGACTAATGTACATTTATGTATTTACGGTATAATGCTCTTCGTTTCCTTTTCAATTTTCCATCTTCCTAGCTTTCTTTGGCCCATATTCTTCATTTACCAGTTCATGACCCCGTTTTCGTTTACTACATATGTACAGTAAATTCATCAGATGATGTAGTTATCATTTGGAAATTGAAATTAATAAATTTTTGGAACAAACCTTATTCTAAAAATTGCATCAACTTCGTCCTTATATTGAAATTTTGTTGAATTCTAAATCAATAAATAAATAAATTATTAAAAAAAAATTTAATCCCCTTTTTTACTCAAATTTTATTCTTACTTTATACATCTGTTTAATATTTTTCCACCTTGTAGCACATTGCTGATCGGTGTAAGAGTAACCTTTATCGAATAATGCATTGGCGGCACCAGTCCAGAGCTTTGCTCTAATTTCACTAACGGAACCACGACGTTTTAGCTGCAGGACTTCTTCTTTATGTTCTTCCAAATATGAAAACAATATTTTTGTGTCTTCTTTCTTCCACTTAAATTTACCTAATTTTTTTTGTTTTTATAAAAAGGTAAAGCCGATCAGTGTTGAATTTCCAACAGGCAATAAATATTTTAATAATTCTCACCACCATTTTGAGGACAAACATCTTGAAGGTTATCATTTTGAAAAAGAATATGTTGATTATAAGAAAAGGGTTGTGCCTGCATCAAATCATGATTTAAACCCGACTTATTTTCTTGATCTATAGTAGAAAATTCTTGCTGTTGTTGTTCATGTTTGAACATAAGCGTATCTTTATAAACCTCCGTTGTTGGATGAAAATAATAAAATTGATTAACATTTTGGTTTTCATAATCAATATTTTCCAAAGTTAATGGTACAATTTCTTCACAAAGGTAAAGAGTATTTTCGTCAATGAAAAAATATTCAGGCACGACAAGAGTATCATAAGGATAGGGCATACTGTAGGGCATTGACAAATTACTTGAACCTGAAGATTGAGACTTGTACGGTTCGTAAGGTGCATTGCATGCATAAGTAGCGTTTGATAGCATTTGCATTATAGCTTAAAGTGCAAATATGATTTTATTATTTGCTATTTCAATATACTGCGTTAAAAATAAAATTTGGTATATGGGTAATAACTCCTATTATGAATTATGAAGATTTAAAAAAAAATCTTCAACACTAAGAAAAACTTTTTGAAATCATATTTATACTTTATTAAACAATATATAAAGCAAATAATTTATTTTGAAAGATTTTTTGGTAAAAGGCGCGGCGGATAAACGCGTAATTAAGATCCATTCCCCTTTTCAAATACTTAATCCAATTCAATACAATACAAATGAATTGTATTAAATCCGCAATCAAAGTCATAAGTTTTTGCTCATCAGATGAAATGATATCATTCCATCTTTTTTGTTATTTGTTATAAAAAAAAAATAATAATAATAAATGTAATTCCGAGTTTTTTGGGAGCAAACAGGTTTATAAAGATTTCAAGGTTGAAAAGAATTATTATACCTATTGTATTAAAATAATGATGCAAAATTTTGATTATAACATTTAACCGGCGTGAGAATTCGTGACTTTTTTTTTTTTTTTTTTTTTTTTTTTTAATATAACCTCATATGTAACAAAATAACTCCATTATCAAATTAAACATTACCGAATTTTTTTTTGTACAATGCTTTTTATTCCATTCATTAGACGATTAAATTTATAAGAAAATACCTGTTTTCTAGGTGTAACATTTTGATTTGGGAAAATCTTAGAAAATTTTTTCGACCTTTGGAAAAGTAATACTAACAAACGCATTTTATACAAATCGTTATCTCAACGAGAATGGCTCACTTTTTACGCGAACAGAAATCTTTATCATACCGATAAAGCTCTTTGTAATTCACAACAAAATTTATAATGAAAAAAATTAAAGTTTATGATTTTAATCTAAATTTGGAACATAGCTTGATACAGATTTATATTTATTTTGAAAATCCTTCCGAGTATAAATTCTTAAATGCTAGAAAATATAGAACAATTTAAGAAATGTATCATTTTTGGGTTCGTTCGTACCGAAAATGAAAACTTGAATTTAAGAATACGAATTGGTAATCCAATGATATTATGGGATATGCGATAATGTTTAAAGAAGGTTTTATTTCGGAAAAGTTGGTTAATATGCTTTGAAATTGAATTCGCATCACAATAAATAGGTAATTAATAAAATTTTCTATTGGTCAACTACCATTTTAGGACGAAAATTTGAACTATTAAAATATTAACATTTTTCATTTACTGTATTGATGTTTTGGAACCTTTGCAATTGAAAAGGGAGGGGAAACTGCCGGGAAAAATAAATAATATATCTGAACATATCATGGCCTAAAAATCATATTTGGCATATAAAAGAAAAAATTGATTTTTTCCATTTAATTGGCTAAAAATATTTGTTCATAGAAATATAAATTCATAGGTGAAATTTCGAATTTCGATTATGGTACGATTCGAGTTTAAGCATTTTATTTAGCTTAGTTCTTAAAGATTAGTCGCTCATTGACAAAAGCAATTATTACGTCATCGTAATTCAAAAAGATTATAAAAAGTAATTTTAAAAGATTATTTATTATATAACCTTGTTTAAAAAAAAATTTTTTTTCGGCATTTTATTCCGATTTACATAAATTACACAAAGTACAATTTTATTTGTACCTAATTTTTACAGTTGTTACACAAACTATTATATCTTATATATTCTTTAGAAATGTGTTCATTAGAATTCGGTTACCAAGAATTTCTTCAATTTCTGACTTATACGTTAAGTTTTTATTATCCTAAAAAAAAAAGGAGAATAATTGATTTTATTAAAATTATTAATCAATGTCCATAAGTTTAAAAGAAAAAATTTCATACATTGTAATCCTGTTTAAGATTTTTCCATTTATTCGAACATTGATCGGAGAGCGGTTATGGTTATTTTTGGAAAGAAAATAAGACGTATTGGTCCAAAGATTCCCTCTAACATATTTAGCTTTAAAACCCCGACACTTGAGCTGTTGAACCTTTTCTTTATTTCCTTTCAAATATGTAAGTAAGCACTCGGTTTCATTATTTTCCTATTTACATGAAAGATGCTTTATTTTGCTTCATAGGTTTAGTTGAGTCTAAGATTGGTAGAATCTCAGTTAATGAATAATATTTATTTTGCTTTTCCAAAAAAAATTTTATTACCTTGTTGATTAGTATAAGTATCGAAGCCAACACAGTCATCGGGATCTTGAATGTTATTGTTTAAGAGTGTACCATTATGGTTCACAAGAGCTGCTGTATAGTGTATTTGGCTAGAAACAAAAGACTCCACATGAGGTTCGTTCAGTCGACCTCCACTAATTTCTAGAGAGTAGAAGGTTGATACCTGGTATGGCTGTGGAAATTCTTCAAAAGAACTGGGTGGTGCCTGATTATATTGGCTTTGTAGAGTTAGAATTTCTCGAAATTCTTCAAAAATATTGATTGATACTTGACATTCTAGGCTTAGCTTATCCTGAATTTTCTGCAATCCTCCAAAATTAATGGGTGATACTTGATTAAGTTGCCTTAGCTGATTTATAATTTCCAGTAATTCTTGATTTTGTTCTGAAGTTAATGGTAGAAATTCATACGACATAATTTATTTGAGCAAAATAAAAATTATTTTGGTTAAAAAGTTTATAATTATTGAAGATACCTTCGATTTATAAGAAATCAAGGTCGTTTGATTCAATTCATAACGAGCCAAAGTAAAAGTATCACAGTATATCTAAAACAATAGAGAGGATTTGCCACTTGAATTCTGAATCCGATGATTGATAAATTTGTTACACATAATCCGATTCGATTACATCACGAGTCCCACTTTTAATTCTTCATTGATTGATATGTAAATCTTATTACATACACATAAAATAAAAGTTTTTGTTTAGGACGGTATTTCAAGAAATTTGTTGGTACGGTAAAATCAGATAAACGTTTTCGGATGGTTCATTAATGTTACAACTCAATTGTGTGACAGGTTATCTTGGATATAACAGTATTATAATTTAGAATACTTTAGAATACTTCTTTGGAAATGATTAATAAACTTCGCATGAACCTTTAAAATTATATATGTATATCTTTTTTCGCCTGCAAATTTTACTTAGAAAGATGAGGTTTTGTTGTAAAGTTGACTTAATCGTATTTTTTAAATGCGCCACACATTAGTCGAAAAAGAAGATTCGATGCTAGATAAGGGAATGATATACAATCTTATCCCATTTAATAATCCAATTCAATCACAAAACACAAAAATAATAAAATCCAATTCCAAATGTAGAGATGATGGTAATTTATAACCATATGACTTGATGTAATCCAAATCAAAAGGATGATCGTTGATTTTTAGGGCTAGGATTTGTTTAGTTACAAGAACATTTTTTTTTTTATATTAATAAATCGACTAAGAACATCAAATTTTAACATTAGTCGATCTAAAAAAGGAATTTTGTCATTAACGTAAAGAGTTTAGATCCAAAGTGAATGACGAGGACAAGTCAATTGAAAACCGTGTTAAATAAAAAAATATTATTATTCTCAAATTATTCTCATGATACACAACATAACAGTTGATAATGGACAATGATAATAAATGTTCAATATCAGTAACCTTACCATATTATACTATAATCATTCTTACAAAATAGTTACATATATCGAATATGGTTATAATTAAAACTTTATTTATCCAAAACTGTAAGGTCGGGAGAATTTGTTTCTCAGGGAAGCTTCTGTGAATCCAGATTTGGAATTTTATGTCGAGAATCTATCCGCGGATAATTATTCAAAAATATTTATCACCTCTTTTAAGACATTTTGGGAAATTAAAAGTACTTTATAAAGAAAACCCATTTTGTTTTCGATTCAATAATGCAGTATTATGGTTAAAGAACATTTCGTAAAATGGGAAAATGTAATCTTTGGCGTCAGAATTTCTCGGATTTCCTATTAAATCGATTAAATGAAAAAAGCCCTATCACTACATTGTTCAAAATTAAATAAATTTTTAGCTGAGAACAACATCTAACAATTCAAAAAATCAAAAATTTATGGGACAATGATGTTAAGTACTTGCATAAACGGGAACTGTCATAAAGAATACAAACGAGTGAACCGAGTGAAGATAAAATTTTAAAAAATTGTAATACATAATCTCATTTTTTTAAAAATACGTATTATCCATCAATTCTGTTATGATCTTCTTTATTTTAAAAGAATATACAATTAAAGGAAAAAAACTTATACATAAGAAAAAAAAGTAAATAATAAAGAATACAGAAAGGGAAAATGTTGTTTCAATAATCTCAAAAGATGTGATTGAGAAATGTCTTTTTGAATAAAAAAATTTTATTTTTTTCTTTTTTTTTTTTTATTATATTATTTGTCCAATTTAAAATTTTGTTGAAAAATAAATTGTCCTTTAAGAATCTTTTGATTCCCGGCAGAACTTCTTCATTTCCGAAAATTTTCCGTACGGAAAATACTTTTATTTCCATTCTCATCATCGCTACATCCATAAAATCCATAATCATCATCATCATTAACTCACAACGTTAATGATTTCTTCTCTTCCTCTTCGTTTATATCTCCTTCTCTCGTAGCTTCACGTCCTCTTGGAGTTGATTTTGTATCCTCGTTTATTATTATACTCTTGTCTTTTGACCCAGATTCCTAGTTAAACGTTTTGTCATTGGCTTAATTTGTAATGTAGATATCTTATAACGCGGTAGTGTACGTACTGGCTCGATCCTAATACTTGAATGTTGCGAAATCTCATCATCTCTCAAAAAAGCGTGTGGTGGGGGGGGGGGGTGAATCGGACATGGAAATTTCTCCCGTTTCTCCATCTATTATTGCGGTAGTTAGAGCTTTTTGCTGATGTTTCCATGTATATATACAAATAGAAGGGCCGTGATAGAGAGTATTACTAGAAAGGAAATCACTATTATGATGGGAATACGATCATTAGAGGCGGAAGAATTATTTCCCGGAATTGACGGAGAAGTTGGTAAAGAGGGGGGAGGAGTTTTCTGTATTATTATTGTATCGATAATATTTGTTTCAATTGCATCCGTTACCGTTGGTTCTAAGTTTGAAACAAAAGAAAGAAAAAAATGATAAAACATTTCAAAGCAATAGAAGAATTAAATAATTACTTTTCTTGTTTTTTTTTTTCACGAATCATTTTAACTATCCTACTGTTGTTGATTTTATCGTACTTTAAATTGGATAGCTTAGAATTACGGTCGGTAAAGTTTTGTTGACATTGGACTTTTTTTTGTAAGGAGGAAAGGTTTCAATGAAAGATTTTCAGAATTTAATCAAGCTGGATTCAATTGGCAAAATAAACAAGAAATGACAACAGAGTTATAAACAACTTGCTTGTTTTTGACAGAAAAGAAAGGGATATGAGAAAATACCAAAGAAAATTTATTTTATTTTTTTTTTTTTTATTCAGTTATTCTATTTATGAGAAAAAATTTTTTTCCCCTTGATCTGTGATAGCGAACGACCCATATATTTTTAACATAAATCGCTTGCAGAAATCGGAATTTTTAAATTGTTCTTTTTGTATCTAATAGTTGGCAAAGAAACACCAACGAAGTAAAATACTGAAAAGAAAGCCAACAAAAGCAAAAGTCCCAACCATCACCCAGACCACCCAACTGGTACCAATTCTTGTCTCTCCTACAAATCCTTGTAAAATAACCACTGCTGCAACGATGCTTCCCTTTGACGATAATTTTCTGCTTCTAGCATGTCTATACTTGTTGAAATTGTTTTCTTTGCGTATCGTGGTCTAATAACGAGACGTTACACCCTTTTCTGCGAGACTTCATCTTCAAGTCGTTCATGAATTTCTTGATTTTTCTTAGAGCGAAAGCATTTTTAGACATTAGATTTAATTTTTGAAATTCTGATCAATAAGAATAGATATTTAAAAAATAATCGGTCACATGACCTGAAAATTGATGATAAAATTGAGCTATATAATTTTAAATCCAAAATCAACAAATTTTGGTATACAAAGTTAGAAAAACCTATGTTTATATGGTCTTTGCGGATAGGCTCTCCTTTAATAGGTCGCGCTTGAATCGTAGGCATTCTGCAACCATTTTTAATCGATTTTATAGGGGAAACGATTTATTTTATAATAAAAAAATAATAATGTTGGCCCAAAAAAAAATTTATTATCTACAAAATATATGTATTTTGTCACAATATTTTTTAATTGCTGTTCAATATGTCCTATGTCTTTTAGCCACTATGACCTTGCTGAATTTAAATAGAGTAATAATATACTTTTAGTTTAGATATTTCCCTCGAATTTATTGTAACGTGATAGATTGATTGATGCCGGTTTCTATACTGCATAAAGACTCGTCATTGAATTTTTATCATTACAATCTATCAAAAGAAATCTGGCAACGGAAATTGATTATTTAAATGGAAACATAGTTAAATTAGGAAATGCTTATAACATTCCTACTCCCATAAATCAATATTAAACAGACATGGTAAAAATGAGACATAATCTTCAAATGAATCCAAAACGTTTAAATGATTTATTGAAATAACTTTTTCCTCAATGAAGGATAAGAAGAAGTAAAAAAAAAAAAAAAGTTAATCAAAGAAATAAATATAATAATAAATGTACACTACCCTCGGATAAGTATCCGGTCAGCCAAAAATTATTTATTTATTTAAAAATTTTGAATATAATTATACGATTTAATACTCAGAGGCCATCCTTGATTCTTAAATACATGCTTCAATTCTATGTGGCATGCTTTCTATAAGTTTGATGTAATTTTTGGATGGAATTTTTCTCCACTCTTCTTGCAATATTTCTTCAAGTTCATGAAGATTTTTCGGATGTACAGAACGTTTAATGCGCCTTCGTTTAAGTTCATTCCATAAATTCTCAATTGGGTTAAGGTCTGGAGATTGAGAAAGCCAATCAGGAAGCACCTTAACCCATTTTTGAATAATCCAATTTTTGACATCCTTTGCTGTATGAACCGGAGCATTGTCATCTTGGAATGCATAAGGCTGTTGTGATGTTTCGATTGAATAAATGGCAATAAATTTTTTTCTAAAATATTAATATAATCTAACCAGTTCATTTTCCCCTCAACTTTTACCAAAGGTCCTAATCCTTTTCCTGAAAAACATTCCCATACCATGATGCCACCACCACCATGTTTGACTGTAGGAGTCAAATTTTCAATATCATATCGGGTACCATTTTTTCGCTAAACACGATTAGGCCTATCATTTTCAAACAGGGTAAATCGTGATTCATCACTCCAAATCACAACTTTTCCCCATTTGATAAAGAGATTTCCAAATAGTACCTAATGAAACTTTCTTGTCTCTTGAATCCTGAAAATTGTGCTGAATTTTACTAAGAGAAGATTGAATATTCTTTTTTATAATTTCCTTTAATATGCGATTATCATCATTATTTATGGAAAGTAGCCTTCCGGATCTTTTAGCGCTTAATCCATCATTGGAATTAGCATGTCAGAAAATTTTATCTGTAATAGTACTTTTAGGAATATTTAAAATACAAGCAATAGCTTCATGAGTTTTTCCAGCTTTACGTAAACTAATTACTTTTCTGAGTTCAAACTCATTTAATTTGCGATTTTTTCTTATGTCAATTGACGTAGTTTTTTTTAAAAAAAGTAAAATTGGAGTTGTTTATGTTTTTATTTATTAAAACTAATCTACACATTGTTATACAAATATAAACATATGTACATTATTGTCAAAACCAGAAGGTTTATTTAAAAAAATTTTATTTATTTAATATATCTGATCTTGAGAAATTTAAAAAAAGCTTGACCAGATACCTTTTGGAAGGTAGTGTACTTGGCTAATTGCGAATTATCAAATTTTTTTTTAATGTATTCTATATATACAAATTTATCCTTTAACATAATTATCATAAAAATATTTCATTTTAACCTGAATAATAAAATTTTTATCACCAACAAGTTACTAAATATTGATTTTAGCCTTCGTAAAAAATTACACCAATTACTGTTAGTTTATTTTTATCATATAAATAAGTAAAAAATAAATTACTAATACAAAATCAGATTTTTGTTTCTTAGATCTATCTAAATAACATATAATCAATTACATTAAAAATCATAAAGTCACAACTTTTGGATACCGCTTTGAACTTTGAACTTGAATTATAATAAAAAATAACAAATGTACGTTTAAACATGAGGATTACATAGCACTGAGTTTTTTTAATTTACATTTTAATTTAAGAGATACTTCCTTTCCTTTATATGTATATGTTACATATGACTAAAGCTGACTTTATTTGTTCTTTTTTGCAAAGTTTTTTCTTAAAAACATTTATCATTAATTCACGTATAATAAAAATAGAAGTAGTATATATAGTATAACTTATAATCATTTGCATTATCTACTTCTTTATTAAATATGTAAGCTAAATTTTCTTAAAATGAAATTATCCTTCCCATTTGCCTAATGAAGAAAAATTTCTGTATAGTCTTTTAGAGTTTCTAATTTGAGATTCTTTAAATATTATGTATTCTTGAAACAGTTATGGTAAGTGATCCAAATGATCTTAAATAACTCAAATGACTGATCATGTATTATTTGGATTATTTTAACATTAAATGACAAATGACCTGATTATTTAAAATTATATTATGTGATTTTAATAAAATAATTAATGTAATTTAATAATTCAAACATTTTAATAAATATTTCATGTGATATAAATTTTTAATTCTAGCTAGCATATAGAATTTGGCCTGTATTATATTTAAATGATCAATGACAAATGATCTCAAATAACTAGGTCATTTAATAGTCATTTAAAAGTTATTTCAAATTATCAAATAACTTAATCATTTACTATTACTACCTTAAGGTGGCTCAACTTCTACAATTTATTTGCCTTCATTATATTTGATTTGAAGTATTTGCCTTTCCTTCTGAAAAAACTAAAATTTTATGCTTATTCTATTCTATTTCTATATATCTTTCTTCAAGTATTTCTTCTAATATTTTAATATCAGTAATATCTATTAATCCTAACTCCTTTTCTCTTAGTTTGATCATCTGTTTAGAGTTAACTTCTCATCTCTTCTCTACGAGCTTAAGTTTCTAGATCAGATTTAGCTTTAGAATTATTTTCTTCTTAGTTATTGATCTATAAGATAGTTTGTTTAGGCTCAGATACTTTTTGTAAAGAAAATATATTCTTCTTAGTATCTCTTTTCTTCAATCTTTTTTCTCCTCTCCTTCCCTTTCCACATAATGTAGGCGATTACATGAAATTTACATTACCGTTATCATGGACAT